ATTTTTTTGCACCCTCAGATTCCAGATTTTCAAATAGTTGTATCTCAGCCAAATATTGTCCTATCCTAACAAACCATACATCAATGAAAATATTATTTATTCAGCTTTCAGATTATGTATAAATCTCAATTTCCAAAAATGTACCCTTATGACTGGTTTTGTGGTCCAGGGTCACATATGCATTTATTTTTACCTTACTTGCTCAACGACTCCCAAACGATTCGCTCAACGATTAATTTTTCCAAACCCCTCCTTTGCGTGACTCTAATCTGCGGTGATTGGTCGATTGGTCTCATGTTCATTTCATCTCGCCTGTAATGCCTCATAAAGCAGCGTTTGTGAGCACAGTGCTGCTTTGTGTACAGCGTTATGGGGGAAACAGGTATTTTACGCTCCAAAAGCGGCACCTCGTGGCAAAGAATGAATTTGCATTTTCATTCAGACCAACGCGAAAAGACCAACAAGTGGGCGGGCAATATGCTAATGTTTCATGATGAGGTCAACATGAAACGGCTTGGGATTCGTTTTAAAAACAACTCGTTTCAGTGATTCAGAGTCGACTCTATACATGGTGCACTTTCAAAAAAATCCATTATAGGGGCACTTTAAAGCCCCGCACAAGACTTAATCCTGCTCCCAATTTCTGACCATCACCGTCTGCTCACGCAAACACTCTAATATTGCATATAATTTTCGCGCATCAGGAAGCCGCTATCAATATCAGAGTATTTAAATCACTTTGGATGCAGCTCATGTTAGATGCAGGGTTGCCAAATCCGCATTGCTCCCACGGAATTGGGCTGATTTTAAACTGTTGCAGGCGGGTTGATTTTCTCCCGTGGGTTAAAGGTTTGAAATATTGCATGAATTCCATTTGAATTAAATGCTTGTATTGAAACATTTTGCATTCTACCTATGATAAAACTGTGGTAGATGTTACGTTTTGTGAAGGATGACCACTAGTAGGAAGCCTTTTAGCTGTGTTTATGATCAATCTGCAAAATGGTGACTGTAAAATATGTATTTTAGATATGGAAATTACATATTTTGAGTTTTTATATGGGATATGGTCATTGCGCTACTTTGGGGGATACTTTAACCCCCCATCTGCGTCCTGCCCCCCACTGTCCTCTTTCTTGAAAACTAAAATATGGTCAACCTAACAGTTGCACCAGAGTGTAATTTACATGTTTGCATGTACAACTGACCTATCAGTAAGCCCCGCCCCCTTATTTACGGTTGTGAACTCGGACAAACAAACGGAGGTGATAACTGTCTTACAATGACAGAAATCAGTTTGAAACCTTGTCCCAAGATGTTTTTTATAAATTTTTGACACAGAAAAACCACCATTCAAGTGGGAATTAAATATGCCATGGAGGGATATATAAAATATTTTAAAATACACAAGATTAATTTGGAAGCGAGGGTTTACAGATCACAATGCAAGCGGGAGAAGCGTTAAGGTCCTTGCACACGGAGTCCGAAATTTTCATATGCATTTTTTCCAATGCGTATTAATTAATCCAATGCGAAAAAATTTGCAAAACAGTACTAAATGGAGTCTTCAAGCAGTGAAGATGATTTTGTTGTCCTCTCGCTTCTTAAAAAGAGAAAAAGAAAGGAAATATTGGGTCCATCCAATCCTGAGATATAGAGGAGAGTTCCCCTCCTTATTAAGGAGCAGCGGGATTATCACGGGCGATTTAATAACTCCTGAATGGAATGAGATATCTTCGCCAAACTCAGACCACTTATGTGCGAGCACAATCTGAGGTCACAGGAAAAAATCGTGGAGCTTGGCCACTTGGTGGTGCTATAAGAGGGACAAAAACATAAAAATGGCTATAACTGCGCAACCATTTGTCCTATCAACATGAAAATTGGTGTGCACGGTCTTGGTCCAAAGTGCCACAAGTGTCTACAAGGACATTTGAGTATCTCAAAAAACATGGCCGCCATTGGCCGACAAAGTTTGAGCACCTGTTAGACAAGGTTAACGGAGGCTGAATGGAATGAAACTCGGTGGGCCTGTTTGACACACGACCCCAAAGGTCTGTGAGAAATTTGAAATTAACAGGCCACTGGGGGGCGATATCGCATTTTTCAAGGGCATAAACGATTGTACATTGCACAGTTTTTCGCACATACACACAATATTCTTATCATATGATAGAACTCCTCATTCCGGACAACTTTGCTTCTAGAACCACTGCTGCCAATCAAATCGTTTGTTAAATGATTGAGAAGATGTAAAAAACCTACTTTTGCGAACTAGTCCTAGGTTTTTTGCTGGAAAAAAACACTGCAGTACAATTCTCTGGACTCTCTCTGTCAATAATTATCAAAAAAAAATTTAAATGTACCCTTAGGGAAGTTATAATGGGGTCGTTTAGAAAAGGGGCCTGTCCAAATTTACCCAAAATCCTATAAAGCCTAAAGGAAAACTCAAAACTTCTCGAATCCTGGTGAGCACATGCGTGGTGATTCTAAACAAGCATGCAAAGTTTTAAGGTGATCAGACCACAGGACGGCACTATAACAGTTAAAAAGGATTCAAAAACACTGTATTTCTATGGTAAATGACCTCAACTTGCAGAAAGCGTTCATACATTCACGCATACACTAGATCTTGCCATCGTACGATCGATCTCTTGATTCTGGACAACTTTGCCTCTAGGACCACTGCTGTCATTCAAATTGTTCTTAAAATATTTGACATTATTTAAAAAAACCTACTATTGCGAACTCCTCCAATCTGACCAAATGTGGTGCTATTACAGTCATAAATGTTAATAAACTTCATATTTCTATGGTAAATTACATGCAGTTGCCAAAAATTATCTTTTTTAATCATTGATTTAGCTAGTTACAGCCTTTACACAGTGTCTTTTTCCTTATTTGCTTAAATGCCTTAAGCGCTTAAACCCCAATAATCGCTGCTTGCAGCTATATTTATAAATTAATTTATTTAACCCTCTGGTGTTGTTCGGTCATGTTTGATGGAAAACTGTTACGTTTTGGGTTTTTTTTGTTTTGTTTTTTTTACTTCATTGGAATAGTACAAAACTTGGTAATTGTTTTGGTACTTGCTATGTGAACACAAAAAAAAATTATAATAATGGACAAGATTCGAAAAGATAAAATGGTCCAGAAGAAAACAGTAACACTTGTATTGTTCATGGTCAAAAATGACTGCAATTGAAATGAATGGAAGCGAATTTCATCTAGTGGAAACATTTGGTACTGCGCTCAAACAAAACCTTACTGAAAGCTCATTTTTTTGCGATATCAACCTCAAATTTGGAACACATCTGGTTTAAATTCATAGCTTTGATTTTCTTGCAGTTTTAGAGTAAAACATGTTTTGGAAAATATATATTTCATATAAAATTGTTAAATATTATTTTTGTGCGCATTTCATAATAATAAAAGTTAAACTTCTATAACTTTTTTTTTTGTTTCAGTTAAACTTTTTTCACTTCAGCAATAATCTGCCAACTGTCTTTTAAAAAAAAAGAGACCAAACTTAAGTCTGCACTCCAAAGCTTTCAAGATTTATGACAGTTTAAATTGGAAATTACACTTTCAGGTCTATGCTCAAAAAGCGGTTAACAGGTAATAAATGGATCATAAGTGTTCCATAAATATAATTTAGTACCATAAAAAACCCTAAAAATACAAAATATTAGATTAAAAATACAGGACATTCAAGTCATTGAAATAATAATAAAAAACAAATCTGTCATTTTTGACCGCCACACAAACAACACCAGAGGGTTAAAGACAGAACCAGAATTTGTTCAATAAATCATTATTGAATAAAAAAAAAGAAAAAAAGAAGCAATTTTATATTTAATTTTACCCCCTACTGTACCGAAACCAGTCCCAAAACTTATTTTTGTGTTACAACCCGACTTATATATACTGTGCACTAAATCTGATGCTTCATAGAGCAGCTAAAAAAAGTCCCTAATTCTAAAGACTAGTTAGTTAGACTAGTACTGATCTCTCACCTTCTCTAGCTGGTCCTGTTGTTCCTGCACTGAAACTGTCCTGGTCTTCCATCTCTGGACCCAACAGGCAAAGAGCAGGAGATACTAGAATAAAAACAGTGTGGGATCATTCAAACAAGTATAAAACAACTGAGAATGTTAGAGATTAGAATGTTATATTTGACAATCATAAAAAGTGATTGGTAGCTCTATCATAATTTTTAAAAGCATGGTTATTTTAAGAATGTGTGTGTGTTTTACTCGGTCCGCTGTCCCACCGTCCGTCCTCCATGTGCTCCTCTTTGATCTGAATGGATTTGATTCCATCTTCCTGCGTTTGAGAATGTCAAGAAATCAAGACAATATATAACAAATATTGACGAAGAATCTAATAATGAAGCAGTCCTTACATTTAGTGCAAATGTCTGTGCTGAAGAATCGTCTGTGTACGTCTCTGTCTGTGCTTCTCCGTCATGATTTTCATTGAACTTTACAAGGTTGAGGTTCACCTCTAATGAGAAAAAGAAATAGTGGAAAAAACATGAAACACAACAGTAACAATGCATGCATCTGCATGGATTGAATGCTCGAAATAAAACTTCTGGCATCATTTACTCACCCTCATGTTACATTTACATCTATGAATATAGCGACTTACAAAAGAGAAGAGCCAACAATATTCTTAATATACAATGACAGGTTTATTAGAGACAACTAGATTAGGAAGCAATCTAGAGAAGAGGAGAAATGCAGAGAAAACCTTTTAATAAATGGATTATTTATTAAATGGATGAATTCATTTAATATATTGACAACTGATGTTTGAAATTAATTTAAAAAATGTAAAGATACTTTAAATGTGAAATTAAAACCGCCAGTAGGTGGCAGCAAGTCACTGTTAATAAGTGATTCATTACGATTGAACCGAATCATTTAAAGGTTGATTCATTCAAGAACGAAACACCATGTTGCTCAGAGACGCAAAACAGTGCTGTGGCTGTTTGGATTTATTTTAGTTTTTGGCGAAATTGAGCAAAAACAGGCAATATGGTGTCTAAAACATAAGTCTATTAATTAACTTCTTGTTTATTGAACTGTTGTAAAAATCATTTGTAATCATGCTGATTTTTGGAGAGAAAAAAAACGGCACTCTTCATGTGATATTGATTAACTATATAAAATTATGTAAATATATACATTTTATGTCCCCCCCCCTTGAATTTTGTGATCATTCTAAATGCATTTTAATATACACCCCTAATATATATATATATATATATATATATATAAACCTTTATTCCCCAAAAGCAGTCCATAAGACATGTTAGAAAGAGTGAAATATTTTTAGTGATTAATAACTAAGCTATCAAATGACTGCATAATTGCATGCTAAACATCTTCTGAATATTGCATGAAAGAAGGAAAATCATATGGTTTGGGAACGACATGATGAACGAAATGATGACAGAATTATCTTTTTTTGTGTGCGAGTAAATTATCCCTATTAGTAATAATAACACCAGTGCGCATCAATTTGATACCTATGTTTATATGTTTTATGACATGTTTTTTTGTGAATTTATGATTTTTTTTCCTCCCCCAAAAGTAGTCCATAGGACTTAGAATGAGTAAAATATTTTCAGTGCTTAATAACTAGTGACTATCTAAACAAGACTTTAAATATAGAGCACAAGCCATCTTCTAGACAACTTTCATTCGCTTTCATTGCATGCTTTGCTAAATCTTCTGAATGTTGCATGAAAGAAGGAAAATGATATTTGGTGTAAATTATCCTATAAGTAATAATAACACCAGTATGCATCAGTCTGATAGCTATGTTTATATGTTTTTGCAAGAGTACGAAGCACTTAAATTTAAAGTCAACATGAATCTGAATTTGCAACACACTTCACTTTCTTTACTTGACTTGATTTTATCCACTGTAAATGATGAAAAGTGGATGTAACGAACCAGATCAGAGTGCAAGTTCACCGTCCTGGTTTACCTTCACTGCATGGTTTGGACTTTGGAGTTTGAACCGAAAGGCTCTTTCTCTGACCGTAAGCCGGACACTGGCAGGAAACATCGCGGGTCTGCGGCTGTCAGACGGACGCAAACACACACAGCAATGAAGCAGCTCCTGATGGATGCATGCAGGGATGGGCAGTATTTATGATGCATGTATTTCAAATATAAAATAGGATTTTCATTCGCAAACTGTTATATATTAAACTGTTGGTTACTTTAAACCTAACCTTCTTCTGGGAGGTCACAGGGATATGTGAATATTTGATCTGTTAACTGGTTGCATATATCAGATTTATTGCATGACTCGGGCAGAGAATAGCTGTTGCTATCAAACATTGTTAACTTAATCAACTGAGTCAGTGTAATGGTGAGGGATCGATCAAATAGGCCAATTGATGGAAGGTTTGCCAAGAAATTTCATAAAGTATTTTTTAGTATTTTTAAAATACAAAAATACAGTAGTTTATTTTGATGCATGGTGTGGCTGCTGTATTCTGTGGTTTATTTTCATACAATTAAAATTAAGATATTTGGTATTTTATTTTAAAATACATTTTGATGTATCTTTGCCCAACCCTGGGTGCATGCATGGATGAACGAACGCCCATCTACCCTCACAAAAACTTCTCTATCTGATGTTCACAGCAATAACGCGTTGATATACCATAGTATTTTCAATTGCACTTGTTGTAAGGCTAGTTGCGCTTACCTTCGCAGCTGGTGACGCACCGACGGTGTACACGGACGGAACGGCGGTCTCTGTCAAACACAGGACTTTAGCGAAGCCCATCTCGTGTTGCGTTAAATTCTGAAAGCATTCAGGCGTGAAATGCCGCGAGCACAAGCGCGAGTTCTCCGTTATTCCTCCATCCTCGAAGTGTAAAAACTCCAGCCAGCGCGCGCGTAACCACGGTGCTTTAGGGATGGGAAACAACGTTTTAAGAGGAAAACATCCGAGAATGCATCTTTTCACCATCTCTAGCTAGGCCAGTTTTATGTGGCGTTGTATGACAGGTTGAAGGGGCGTGGCTAGAACGCGGGTCGCTGGCTATTGGCTGAACCGCAGCGGGGCCTTGCATACGTCAGCAGCGACAGGAAGTCGTTTCAGCAGAAGCGCAAGTTGTTGTATTACGATTAAAGATGAAAACGCTCAGCGTCACGTTGAGTTTAAATGATCGCCGGTGTGTCTGGAGTTACGCGTACCTCTCTGTCCGCTGTTGTTGACTTGTATTCCCACGGAGCGCAGGTTCGCTTGGCTCTGTCGCGCCGATCGCAGCTCGCTCTCGGTGAACTGAAGCTTGACCAGCAGCGTCTCCGTCTCCATCTGGCGGCGCGTCATCTCCTGCTCCACCGCGCGGCTCATCTCCAGCAGCGCGCGTTTGGCGAAGCGCTCGAGGATCGACGCCAGCTGCGCGTGGATATCCACCGATGCGGACATTCTAGTCGCTTAAGTGGCGAATAAAGTCTGTGGTTCGTGATTTAGATGCTGCTCGTTTGGCAGAGAATCCGATCTGGTGCTTTCCTTCGGTGAATGCCGAGCGCGCATCAATAGTGTTTACACAAATCTCACAAAACACTTGGCCATTTCCTAGTGAAGTACGTCACCGTTTGAAGGACCAATAGATTTTGGGCTGTTGCTTTTAAAATACCGTAAATGCTAGTTTAGAAGCGCCACAACAACAACAACAACATCAACCGGATACAATTCGTTCGGAATTGAAACTGGGCGCAAATTACGGCTTTGTTTTTACAATGAACCTATACTTAACAGTTGTAATTTTACATATATCCAACATTATTAAAAAAAAATGTTTTAGTAAGACATCTGTTCTAGAGGTAACCATGGCAACAGAGACAGGCGGTTGATGACAAAACTTCATATTATTTATTTTTGATTTCCAAGACGACGTTGTTACTTTACGATAAGTAGTTTGTGGATAAGGATTTTATAAATGGCTCATGTGTGTCTCCGAGAGACAGTGTGGGATGTTCAAGACATGTTTTTATCTTTATTCATGCCAAACAACTTACATGAACTTGTGTGTGTGTGTGTGTGTGTGTGAGTGTGAGTGTGTGTGTGTGTGTGTGTG